CAACTTGTTTGAAGAGCAATTTAAAAGGGCAAGGGAGATGGGGTTTTGTGGAGGGAGGAGTGTGGGGGATAGGAGGAGGAGCAGAAGAGTGAGAAGGTAGAGGGGAGAGACTGGGTCCAGACTCAGGGAAGGTTCAGAGAATCCAAACACGTTGCTCAGGCCGGTTGTGGGCATTGGCTGCGGACTCCCTCTGCCCTGGGCAGTCCCGGCTTCTCTCCAAGGTGCTGACCAGCCAACTGGGGGGCTGGTCTGAGTGCCCCGGCCCACACTGCACGGCTCCTGGCCAGGCCCTAGTCACACACCCCAGAGTCCCCTGGCTCTCCCGTTAAAGGAGGCCCTTGCCTGGAAGGAGAGAGGGACTGACAGCCAGGACAGTGGGCCGCAGTGGGGAAGCCTTAGTGGGTCTGCCCCCCCCCCCCGGTGGAGAAGGGCCACCTCAGCTCAGTGGCAGGCACTGGTTACCCCCTGCCCCACCCACTCTCCTTGATGCTCCCTCACTGGGGTCTGCAGCCAGCGTCCTGGGCTCTGGGTAGCCGGAAGTCGGGTATCAGGATTGAGGTAGAGGTTCAAGAACATTTGTCCCACCCACAGTCCCTAGCCGGGGTGAGATCTGGGAGCCTGGACGGAGCAAGGTGTGGGAGATGGGCTCGGGCAGAGGAGACGCAGACCACAGACGGGACAGTGGCAGGAGACAGCTGCTACAAATCTCTAACTCTGGGTCCCTCTGGCCTCTCTCCTTGATCTGTCTTCCTGAGGGAGTGGGAGGTGCTGAGAGAAGGGGCTAATCCCTCTGGCCACTGCCCCCTGAATCTGGGCCTCGGCCTCCACCAGCTGTTACCAAACTTTCTTTGTCTGGAGTCTGAGCCAGAGCCTCTGGGGCAGAAGGGAGCCAGGACATGCTGAGCCTTAATCCAGACATGTGGTTTAATCCAAAAAAGATCAGCTCAAGGTTTGGGAGCTGGAGGCATCACTCAGGAGACGGACATTACCTCGGGCCTGGCAGAGGCTGGTAGGAGGGCCAGGCCTGCCGTCCTAAGGATGTGGATCAAACACAGGGTTTGTCCCAGGGCCCTAGTCCTATGGAGCCATGGCCTGAGGGTCAGTAGGCCCCCAGTTTGGTCCGAGCTCTGCCATGATGGTGGGCACGTCCTCGCCACTCTCTGAGTGTCATTTTTCCCAATGCACATGTGTGCATGTCTTCTTAGGCGAGTAATCACCTGAGAACATAATCATGGCTGAACTGCATGGCGCAGTTTGGGAGAGCTGGGAAGTCAGAGGAGGAACCTGTTGTGGGGGGCTTCCTGGGGGAGGAGGGCTTTGTGCTGAGTTGTGATGAGAGGAAAGGGGCATTTTGGGCAGGGGATGGCAGCACAAGAGAAAATAGCCATGTTGTGCCCACAGCACAGGGGAGAGGGGACCAGGGTAGAGACGTCATTGTCATTAGAACCTGGATATGGTCACCATGTTGATCAATCCCTGGTTCTGGTCCGGACCCTGCCTCTTACCAACAAAAGAATCCCTTCCCCACATGTGATCTACAAAACGGTCACATAATGTATGGTCCCTTCCAACTCTGATCATCTGGGCTGGGTAGGAGGTTGGCTCAGAGGTGGGTACCTGTCACTAGAATGGTGCAAGGCTGGCCATGGGGAGCCATCATGGAAGTTTCTTGAGCACAGGGGTGACCAATGAGGAATATTGAAGGAAAATGAGCTTGACAGTGGGGTGGATTGAGCTGAGGGGAGGTAGGAATGGAGGATCAAGTGACCCAATCAGAAAGTGGGCAGGACTCTGGGAAAATGGACCAGTCAGAGCAGAAGCCTCAGAGGGAATGTGGCACAATGAGCAGAGCCTGCATGGGGCCAGCTGGGGACTTCAAGCAAGCTGCCTAAGATCTCTGAGCCGCACTGTCCACATCTATAACCTGGGGCTCTCGAGCCCATGTCCCTCAGGGCTAGGGGCAGTAAGGGGGATAATGGGCATGAATGCTCAGGGCATAGACGGTGCCCTCCTGAGTCTGGCCCTGGAGCCTGGAGGAGAGAGTGTGGTAGGCTGGGCACCCAAACCCCCAGCTCCCTGACCAAAAAACCAAGGTCCCCCCAGATCTGGGCTGCCGGGGTCAGAGCTGTCCCCACCACCTCCCCAGTTGTGGACAGTCAGATCTTTCCTCCTACCACATGGTTAATTTTCAACTTATTTTTCCCCAGGGAGGTATTGGGAGCTGGGACCAAGACTTGGTTGGGAGCAGGTTCCTTGGCATTTAGCTGAAAGGTGAGGGGGAAGCTGGAATGTGGGGTGGGGAGGAAGTGGGAATTCTCTGCCATGAAGGAGTCCTGGGCCGGGAGTCCCAAGACCTGGATGCAAATCCCTTAGGTCTGTGCACCTTCACTTCCCTATCCAAAGACTAGGAATGAGAATAGGGCCCAGGCTGCCTCTCTCCAGGGAGGGATGGATACAAGGGCACTCACTCAACATGTCAGGGCCATGTCATCATGTCCTTACTGAGTGAATGCTGCCACCCGCCCTGCCCATTCATCCTCACTGACCCCTCAGGCCATGGTGCCCCGAAACCCAGCAGCTGCCTCCCATCCTACCTGTGGCTGCGGCCAAGCAAACAGGAGGGCCATGAGAGAAGCGTGTTCTCCTGCTTCTTGGAAAAGCTCCCGTCTTCCTGGCATATGGCCCAGGGTGCTGGCAGAGACTGTCCTAACGTGGCAGGCATGGGAGCTCTGGGGACGTGGATGGGGCGGGAGGCAGGTAGGGGTGATGAGGGAGGGATGGGGGGCTGAGAGGGGCTCTCGGCTCTCCAGGGGTGGGGCCTCCTGGGGGGGAGGGCATGGGCGCGGGCCGGGGTGGGGACCCAGGAGCAGAGCGGGCTGTGGGCGCTGCCTAGATAAATAATGTTGGGCCCACAGCACACATGTGTGTTTGCACAGAAGGCCTTGAAATGATTCCAGGCCTGCCCTCTGTCCCCCGCAACCCCAGTCCCCCTCCTTCCCTGCTCACCCCACCCCACCCTGACCTTTCCTTCCTTGTCACTTAAAGGAGCCCTTGAAAGGGAGAGTCAAAATCAAAGGAAACACTTCTCTCTTGCTGGCCTTCTCTCTGCCACAGGAAACTACACGGTTGCCATGTACAGTTGGGAAGGTTGGGCACTGCACAAGGGAGGGGAGAATAGGGAGTTGAAATCCCACTTGGGCTCCACTCACCCAACTGCTATCCAGAGAGAAAGGTCACCCTGTGCTGAGATATTTGAAGGTGTGGAATGGACTAACAGCAGCCCTAGAGATGCCAGAAGTGTCTTCCTAACTGGGCTCTTTAGGGCAAATGAACGCCAAGGCTAAGCAGGTCAATCCCAAAGCGTGACTCACGATGGGCAGGAAGCCTCCCTCCCAGTCCCAGCGTGGCACAAGAAATGCCCCCAGGAGAGCTTACCAGTCCTTTGATTAAAGCCTCTCCCTCTTACTGGCCAGAGGCCTTTAAAGCAGCAATTCTCAAATGTGAACAAATATAGAATCACCCCCAAGGCCTGTTGAAATGCACTGCTGGGCTTCCCCCGGCTTCTGATTCAGTAGCTCTGGGGCAAGCCTGAGAATCTGCATTTTTGCCAAGTTCCCAGGGGGTGCTGTCGCTGCCGGTCCAGGCACCCCACTGTGAGAAACACTGCTTTCCGAACACGAACACACGTTAATTCAGCCTTAATGTGTTTTTCTGTTCCTTTTGTCCGTGCTGATTTTACTGAGGGCGCATATATGTTGATGATCTTCCACGGGGACTTATTCTTGAGTCCCGGGCGCACAGATCATAGGAACAGCCCAGAAGCCTGGCTGTCTTGGTGTATGTACATCTGACTTCCCCAAGCTGCCAGCTCCAATATGGGGTTCAGAGAGAAAGGGCCTAGAGGCAAAGCGTACTACATGACTGATGGGAAAAGAGGCCTCTAGCTGTGTGTTGAGACCAGGGGTACACCTCTGGGGGGCCTTGGGACAGTAGAAGGAGGCAATGTGTGAGTCGCTGGGGGCCTCCCTCGCTGGGGAACCAGAACATGGGTCTTCTCTCCAGCCCCTGATCTCGTCCATTCTCCCCACCCCCACTGCTCTGTTCCCACACCAGCAAACCCCCTCCCCACCACCCCTACCTCTGTGCTGGGCAAGAGGAAATGAGAGAGCCCTGGGAGCTGGGAGGGGCTGGGGCAGCATCTCTGGGGAGGATGAGGTGGGGTGGGGACCAGAAACCCAGTCCTGAGTGGGTGTGGTGGTGTTCGGTCCCAACCTCAGTGGTGTTCAGTTGGAAATTTACCCACACCCCCCAGATGGCCCTGTGGGAGGGAAAGGGGGGGATCTTCCTCCCTGACTTGTGAGGGGATTCTACCCCATCACACCCCTCACTTGCTCCTTTCTTCCTTCCTTCACCTAGAGGTGAAGGTGATGGTGACTTTCTCCCTTCCCCACCCTCTTTAAGGGAAGGATAAAAGAAAACAAGCTCTGCTATAGCAGGAAAGACTGAGGTTAGATCTCAGAAGGAACTTTCTCTCCAAGGCAGTGGACTGGGTTCTGGGCATGGGCTGGTCCAGGGATAGAGGCCCAGACATTAAAGACTCCTTGTCCAGGCCTCAGTTTGCTCACCTACCAAATGGGGCTAATCATGCCTTCCATGGTGAGGCTTCAGTGAGGTCAAGAACCTCAGAAGGTTGTTTTAAGCGTGCCACGTGGGTAAAGATTTGCTGCTTTCAGCCACTCTGGCTTCCTTGGGGAGTGAGGGAGCTGTCCGTTTATACCTCACTGTCTTTCTCAGCCAGAAGCCTATCTGCCCAGCCCTGTCCTAACTGCCCAATGACCCGGAAGCCCCAGCTCTCTCCCAGGCCCAGCCACTGCCCACTGAGCCCCTCATCCCCGTAACCAGCTTAGTGGCCCCCAGGGGCGATGGGGAAGCAGCCAGAACCTGATTCCCCATCCTCTCTTCTTTCCGCAGACACAGCCACTGGCCCAAGCGACAGCGGCATGGGCAGCGCCAGTCCCGGCCTGAGCAGCGTGTCCCCCAGCCGCCTCCTGCTGCCCCCCGACACTGTGCTGCGGACAGGCCTGGAAAAGGAGGCCGCAGGGGTGGCGGGGCCCGAGAGACGGGACTGGAGCCCCAGCCCGCCGGCCACGCCTGAGCAGGGCCTGTCCGCCTTCTACCTCTCCTACTTCGACATGCTGTACTCTGAGGACAGCGGCTGGGCCGCCAAGGGTCCCGGGGCCAGTGCACGGGAGGAGCCGCCCGAGGAGCCTGAGCAGTGCCCAGTCATCGACAGCCAAGCCTCCGGAGGGAGCCTGGACTTGGCACCGGGGGGGCTGACGCTGGAGGAGCACTCCCTGGAGCAGGTGCAGTCCATGGTGGTGGGCGAGGTGCTCAAGGACATCGAGACCGCCTGCAAGCTGCTCAACATTGCTGCTGGTGAGGCCTCCCTCGGGACCGCCTCCGGGAGGTTGGGCACAAGCTGGGTGGAGGTCGCGAGGTTGGGGGGGTTGGCAAGGGTACTGTCTGCGGCGCTGTGGCCACCACCACCTCCCCCCGCCCAGCCTCAGCAGCCCCAGTGGTGCTGGTGATTCTGTACCTACGGGTGGCCCATAGCCTATAGCAGCTGGGTGCCTGGGGGAGGTTCTGACCCTCTCTGTGCCCCGACTACCGGGGGCAGTGCACCAGAGCTCTACACCATCCAGCCCACCACCTCCTGCTGAACTCCTCTCCATGTTCTCCTCATTTACTCGGCTCCAGCCACACCGGCTCTTCACTGCTCCCATGACACTCATACCTCAGGACCTTTGCATCTTCTGGTCTCTCAGTCTAAAACGCTCTTCCCCCAAATATTTACTTGGCTCACCCCTTGCCTCCTTCAGATCTAGACTCAATGGCACTGTTTTGAGGAGGCTTTTCCTGATGCTTCTATTGAATTTACTGTCCATACACCACCTGATTCCTCCTCCCTGCTTTCTCTCTCCCGTTGCATGTACTGATACCCTGCGTATTTTATTGATTGACCGTATTTGCTGTCTGTCTCCCCCGCTGGAATGTACACACCCTAAGGGCAGGGATTTTCCTTTGCTGTGTTCGTGGCTACATACCCAGGTCCTAGGATGGCACCTTGCACATAGTAGATGCTCGATAAACAGTAGTTTCTTAACATGCCAGGCCCTGTTCTAGCACGGTGAGGGGGGGTGGATTAGGTGGTGAACACCGCACAAGGGCCCCCTTCTTCAGGAAGCTGACATTACAGCGAGGGAAACGGATCAGAGATACGGAGATAAGTGTGTGCCTGGTCCGGTCGTCATGAGGGCTCTGATGAGGAAGGGGCACTAGGAACACAGGCACCTGTGTACCTGTCGCAGGCTGGGAAGTGTGGTTATGGCACTGATGCTGTGGGCCTCCAGCCTCCTGTTCCTGCACTGTCCCTCCAGCTTTGGGCAGACCTGACCCATCTCCTTGGGTGCTAGGTCCCGGCCTTTGAGCATCGAGGTCTCAGCTGCTTTCAGGCATCCCTCAGGTCCAGCCTTTCCTCCTCAGAGTCATCCTGGACCCACACGCGTCCCCCCAGACCATCTCAGCTGGTGTGCCCCCGCTCCCTGCCCCAGGCAGCTCTTGCCCTACCCCCATCGTCTTCCAGTTACCCAATGCTCCTGCCAGTCCCCACTGCTCGAGGTGTTCCCATGGTGCCTCCTTTCCCACACTGGGCTGAGGAGGGGCCTGCCCTCTGAACAATGGGGACAGAAACAAATTGCTTTGACCCTGGGAAGGAAAATGAGTTTATTAAGTGGGGGTAGCCCAGCCTGCAGGTCACCTAGCTGGGGCACCAGCTTAGACCAGAGTGTGCACTTGGAGGCCCCATTGGGACCATGCCTAGCAGCCCGGCCCCCCGCCATGTGTCCTGCAGGGCTCAGCCCAGAGCAGCTCCCCAGGGGGACGTCCAGGACCTAACCAGTGATTCTCTTCTTTGCCTCTGAGGCCTATAGCTACCCCCGGTGGCTTGATGCCCTGCCATTTATTCATTCAGTGCAGACGCACTGAGCAGCTACTATGTACCCAGCCCCTTGCTGGGTGTTGGACAAGGGGCTAGTACTCTCTGTGCCTCAGTTTCCTCATCTGTAAAACGCAGCACAGTTTGGGGTTGTAGGACTACTCTCTAGCTGTTTGTTTGTTTGTTTTTCTGGTTCCTTGAAGGGTTTGGGGAAGGCAAGAGGCAGCTGGGAGATAAACTCAGGTGTCTGGTTTAATGTCACTAATGTCACTCTCCCCTCCAGGACTGGGGCTTCCTGAAAGGCCCCTTGGAGGGCCTGGAGGGGTCAGGAAGACTTGAGGTCCTGGTGAGGTGGGGGGTGCAGAGGCCCCAGGCTACCCTGCCCTGAGCCAAGTTTGTTTTTAGGGCCCTGGCTGCTCCCTCCCGCTCCCCTCTCTTCTCAGGTGCCCCCTCCACAGGCCTGTCTGGTCTGGCCTGTTCTCACCCCCGGAGCCTCTGGTCCTGGCCCCAAGCTGCTTCCAGTTCCCAGGGGCGCCCCACGAGATGCAGGCGATGCCCTCCGCCTGCCCGTGGAACTGAGGGAGTGTCTCTTGCCCAGACCCTGTAGACTGGAGCCCTGGCAACGTGCAGAAGTGGCTCCTGTGGACGGAGCACCAGTACCGGCTGCCGCCCGTGGGCAAGGCCTTCCAGGAGCTGGGGGGCAAGGAGCTGTGTGCCATGTCGGAGGAGCAGTTCCGCCAGCGCTCTCCTCTGGGTGGTGACGTGCTCCACGCCCACCTGGACATCTGGAAATCAGGTGGGACATGGCCTGGGAGAGCAGCACCTCCCAAGCTCCAGGTCCGGGACATGGAGTAGGGGGGACTGGGGGTGGGGGCGGTCGGTCCAGGACACTAGGCAGGCTTATTGGCTGCTGGGGCAGCAGCTGCTTGCTCCCAGTCTGGGCTCTGTTCTAAATCTCAGTCCCCCTGGCAACTGCCTCCAGGGATCCTGGACGAACTCTCCAGCCTCGACCCGCTCCCAGCCCCGCTCAAGCCCACAGAACTTAGGGCAGGGCATGGGGGAAGTTAGAAGGCAGGAGTTTCATTCTGGGAACACGGATGGCATAGTTGATGGGGACCGTGGGTACTATGAGGTCCCTCTTTGTCCTTTTTTTTTTAAAGTTCATTTGTTTATTTTGTGCTGTTTCTCATTAAACAAGTAGTGAGGTAATACATGTGCATGATTTCTAAAAAGACCATAGTGGGGCGCCTGGGTGGCTCAGTGGGTTAAAGCCTCTGCCTTCGGCTCAGGTCATGATCCCAGGATTCTGGGATTGAGCCCTGCATCGGGCTCTCTGCTCAGCAGGAAGCCTGCTTCCTCGTTTCTCTCTGCCTGCCTCTCTGCCGACTTGTGCTCTCTGTCAAATAAATAAATAAAATCTTAAAAAAAAAAAAAAAAGACCATAGTGAGGGGCACCTGGGTGGCTCAATCAGTTAAGCGTCTGCCTTTGGCTCAGGTCATGATCCCAGAGTCCTGGGATTGAGCCCTGCATCGGGCTCCCTGCTCGGAAGAGAGCCTGCTTCTCCCTCTTGCTCTGTCTACCACTCCCCCTGCTCGTGCTGTCTCCCTCTCTCTTTGCCAAATAAATAAATAAATAAAATCTTTAAAAAGACAATAGTGAAAAATAATACCATGAAAAGTAATTTTCCCGCTCACTCCCGACCCCCCAGTCCCCCTCCCCAGAGGCAAACACAGTTACCTGTTTCCTGGGCACCTTGCTGGGGAGAGTCTATGCACACTGCGAGCAAACACACACGTGAGGTTTTCACCCCTTTGTTAACATAAATAGCTCCAAAGAATCGCACTGTTCTGCGCTCTGTGTATCTTGGATCTTGTTCCCGCATCAGCATCTCTACATCCGCCCTATTTCTAAAGGCTGGGTGCCATCCCCTTAATGTTTAAATCGTCTCTCATCCCACTGGATGTCCTGGACAGAGCTATGAGCTTTGGAAGAGACAGTGCTTGCTGAGAGTCAAGGCCCCTGCCCTTGGGCATGGGACCCACCCATATGACCAGTGGAGACCAGTGTCCCACCCCAGCCCAGGGGCAGGCAAGTGTACCAGCAGTCCTAGCCAGGCAAGAGCCAGACGGTGAGGGGGGCAGGAGCCCACTGCCTCCACGCCCCGTTTGCTTGGCCACAGGGGGTGGTTGCTATGGCCCCACAGTCCCACCCAAGCCCCCTCCTCCACCCTTGGAGTCGGCCCTGGGTCTCCAGCCTTCTCTCCCTGCCCTGCAGCGGCTTGGATGAAAGAGAGGACTTCTCCCGGGACCATCCACTACTGTGGTGAGCCAGGGCCCGCAGGGTAGAGGGGGAGGGGGCCCGGGGTCTGGGGGCGGGGCTTGAGGGATGGCTGCCCCTGAAGCAGGCGGCCTCCCCCGCCGCTCACCGTCACCCTACCCGGCTGCCCAGCCTCCGCCAGCGAGGACAGCTGGACCGACAGTGAGGTGGACTCCTCCTGCTCCGGGCAGCCCATCCACCTGTGGCAGTTCCTCAAGGAGCTGCTGCTCAAGCCTCACAGCTACGGCCGTTTCATCCGGTGGCTCAACAAGGAGAAGGGTGAGTCGGGGCCTGGGCGGGGACCGGGGATGGGGGCGGGCGCTGCTGGCCTCCTGGCGCCAGACACAGGGGAGGGCTGGGGATTGGGCAGAGAGGCTGCATGGCCCCCACCGTGGCCCTGAACTCCGGACACGGGGCCATACGGGCCTGGCCCGGGGGGCTGTGTGCGTTCGCATCCGAACCGTCTCCTGGCCGCGCCCTGTCTTGTTTAGGACACCGGCTCCTCACGGTGCCCAGGACATACTAAGGCTGGGACTTGGACACAGTCTTTGCCTGCAGCACATTGTTAGCTTCACCGGGGAGACCGCTGGGGTCCAGCGAGAAACCCCATGCGAGCCGCATAGGCCGTATTAGACTTCCCCATAATCCCATTATAAACCTTTTTTAATAGGTGAATTTAATTTTAATACTACTTTTATTTAATCTTCTATTATAAATTATTAAAATTTCAACATATAATCAATATAAAATTATTAATGAGATATTCTAAGTCTTCAAACTCTCATGTGTATTTTATCCTTACAGTCTATCTCAATCAGATTTGCCAGATTTCAAGTGCTCAAGGCCACATATTACCTCATTGGACAGGACTAGATGTGTGTGTGTGTGTGTGTGTGTGTGTGTGTGTGTGTGAGAGAGAGAGAGAGAGAGAGAGAGAGTGTTGGAAAACACTCAGAGTCAAGAAATCTGGGTTTTAGTCCCCATCCTGTCATCTGTAGCTAGGGGTACTGGGACCTCAGTCTTCTTATCTGGAAAATGGACTGGGTCCATTCATCCAACAACCACTCATTGACTACTTCCTCTGTGCACACTCGCCTGGGCAACATTTATGGAGAATTAGTGTCCTCATGGTCTAGGGAGGATTTGGCTGCACCCCATCCTTGAGGGACCTGCAGTGTTGTGGGAAAGCTAGCCGTGAAAGGAGCTGGCCTATAGAGCATGGCAGGGCTGTGACAGGGTGGTGGGGGCAGCTGTGCCTTGGTCCAGGAGGACTTCACGGGGGCAGTGACTTGGGCTGAGTGGGAAGGATGAACGGGGCTAGAGGGGGGTAGAGAGAAGTTCCTACACAAGAGGCTGTAACCCTTGTGTATATTTGAAACCTAATGTGAGCCGGTCTTCAGGGATAGACCATGATAGACTTCCAGGGGAAGGAGATCAAGGGAGGGTGGGGTGATCTGGGAAGGCTTCCTGGAGGGGGTATGCTGACCTGGGTTTTTCCCAGGAGACCTGAGGTGTAAACCATGTAATAGTTCCTCTCAAGGGGCAGCTCCTTCACGCTCCACTGTAAGCTCTTTCTGTCACCACTCAAAAATGGTAGTCACTACAGCCCCCTCCACCAACTGGAGAAAGGGGACAGCTTCTTTTTTTTTTTTTTTTAAGATTTTATTTATTTATCTGACAGACAGAGATCACAAGTAGGCAGAGAAGCAGGCAGAAAGAGAGGAGGAAGCAGGCTCCCTGCTAAGCAGAGATCCCGATGTGGGGCTTGATCCCAGCACCCTGGGATCATGACCTGAGCCGAAGGCAGAGGCTTTAACCTACTGAGCCATCCAGGTGCCCTAAGGGGACAGCTTCTAATGGTAGAATATGGCAGAGCCAGGCTTCAAACCCAGGTCAGCCCGGCTCCAAATCCTCTGAATGGATCCTACCAGAAAGGGCAGTGCTAGCTTAAGTGTCTGAGGCTGGCAAAGAGGTCTTTCAGGCTTGGGAACTGCTGGGGAAGGCGGCCAGCGTGGGGGCAGTGGTGGGGGTGTGGATGACCTTGACAGATGAGGCGTGGGCACAACACAGAGCCCTGCAGGGCTTTTGGATCAGGTGTACCAACCCCACAGCTGGAGCAGAGGCTGGCAGGGGCCAGGCCCTCAGGGCCCCAGATAACCCAACAACGGACGCAGGCTCACCCTGCACTCAGTAGGTGGGGGACTCCAGGTAGCATTTCCCACTTTATTGGACCCCGTGACCCACTCTGCACAGATGTCTTTGACCCTCACCGCAACCTTGGGAAGAGGTCTTATGCTCCCACCGCCCCCCGCCCCCCGCCCCCCAGTCTGGCCCTTGCTCCCAGTCAACACTGGCCCCCTTGGCTTTCTGAGTCTGACCTGTTGGTTTCGATCTTTTGCCCTCCTGCCATGCCCCCACCCCCTCAGGCATCTTCAAAATCGAGGACTCCGCCCAGGTGGCCCGGCTGTGGGGCATCCGCAAGAATCGGCCTGCCATGAACTACGACAAGCTGAGCCGCTCCATCCGCCAGTATTACAAGAAAGGCATCATCCGGAAGCCGGACATCTCCCAGCGCCTCGTCTACCAGTTTGTGCACCCCATCTGAGGGCTGCAGGCCAGGCCAGGCCTTAGGCAGGCCAGGCCTTAGGCCTGAAACTTGCCCTCACTAGCCCTCCCTCCTGCCCGCCCCTGCCTCTGCCAGAGCTGCGGGAGAGGGCAGTCTGCTGGCACTGGAGTCCAAGGTCAGGGAGGCAGCAGCCCACAGCTCCCAGGGGTCTAAGGGAGCTCTCTGGAGCCCAAGGGACCCCAGGGTGGCGGTGCTTCCTCATCGGGTCTGACTGCTCACATGCCCGGTCCTCTGGAGGATGGAAGAAGGATCCAAGCCATCCTCAGTATTCACGGCTCCCCGGGGAAGGCTCTGACCCTTGGATTTCCAGAGAGGAGCCAGCCAAATGGCTAATGACTTAGCCAAGGCCACTCGTAGTCCAGTGCTCCCTGCCACCCATTCTGCACCATGCTCGGCGTGGTGCTAGGACACGTCTGCCTTCTGCATTGGGAAGCCAGGGGTGCTCCTGGAAATGGGTAATAAAGATACTAGAGAACCAATACGGCAGTGTCTGTGCAGCAAGTGAGTGGCACAGCCCCGAGGCCACCAATGCTCAGAGTCATTGTGGTCACAGTGCCCTTGGGGTGGTCAAAGGAGGCTTCCTGGGGGAGGAGGCATTGAGCTGAGCCTACAAGGAAAGGGATCGTTGATTGGTAGAAGCTGTGGGAGAGAGGCAGTGAGCCATCAATGGCCCTCATCTCCTCCCCTCCCAGGTGGGGGCCCAAAGGGTGGAGCAGGACTGGAGCTGGAGGGGACTTGCAAGGGGACCCTGAGCCTCTGTCTCTGCTTGGCCAACCCCGGGGGCTCTGAGACGGGACAGCAGGGGTGCAGGGAGGGTGGGCTCTTCAGCCCCTGCCGTGGGACCCTGGCTCTGCAGCAGCAAACAGGATGGAAGAGAGGTTGGCTTGTTTGCGGTGTCCCTCTCTTGGCGGGAGTCATGGACCTCTGCGATGCCCCCTGTGAAGCACCCCACACAGATGGGGAGCGGTGGGGGTCAGAGTCCTGCGCACTGGGGTAGATGGGGACCTCCCACCCACTCTCCGGGAGGCAGCATGTCTCAGCCTCCTCACATTTGTTCAGCCAGCTCACGTGTCCTGAGTACTGAATACATACTTGGTGCTTGCACTGGTTTTCTGTCATTAACCTTCCCAACAAAACTGTGAGCTGGGGGCTACCCTGCTGTTCTGCAGATGATGAAACAGGCTCAGAGCCGTGAAGTGACTTACTCAGAGTCACACAGCCGATCGGCGGCAGAACCAAACACTGAACCCACAGGACAGTGCTCTCTCTGCCCCTCCACGCTTCTTGCTCTGTGACTGGTCAGCACTTTTTGCCCCCATAACCCTCCACTTCTGATGCCAGGCTCCCAAGAGACGGGACTGGGAGCCAGCCAGTGCTGCCCAGGCCACTGAGGGTTAAATGCTGCCCCATATTGCTGCCTTCTGCCCCCAGCAATTTTATTGTCTCCAGAAGAAAGTTTACTCCTGGCAGTGAGCAAACAACAGCTTGGCATCTGTCAGTTGGGACTGGGACAGGACTAGGGGGCCCTGCCCCAGGCCTGTGCCTCTCTGGGTCCCCGGCTGTCTGCCTCCTCCCAGGGAGGGGGCCCACTGGGACCCTGGCCAGCACTCAGCTCAGCTCTGCTGAACTGGTTTTGTCTCCAGTCTTCCTGCCCTGCCCCCAAGCGGAGTCCCCGGAGCCACCTGCTGGCGTGCCCCCAGCTGGACCTGGGCCTGGAGCAGCCTGGGCTCTCAGGCTGGGGCTGGGAGGGAGGAGAGGAAAGGGAACTCATGGCTAGGAGTGGGGAGCCGGAGCTCCTCCAGAAAGGGGCGTCTGGGGGGGGGTGAGGCACCCTCCTTGCTGTTGTAGCTTCGCCAAGAGGCACACAACTCCTTGGCCAGTGCACACCCATCCACGGACACCTCGTGTGCCGACAGCAAACTCCCGATCCCGCCTCTTCCCCTGCACACCTGCCCATCAGAACCCCATCAGCCCAGGTATTCCCCGACAGGCCTGCAGGGCCCCTGCACAAATAAGGCAACCTGACTCTCAGGGTCGGGGATCGACACCCATGTGGGGTTCTGCACTCAGCGGGGAGTCTGCTTCTCCCCCTCCCTCTCTATTTGCTCCCTCTCCCTCCCCCACCGCTGTCTCTCCAATAAATAAATAAATAAATAAATAAAATCTTTTTTAAAAAGAAAAATTAAAACCTATTTGGGGGTTCACCCTTGAACTCTGAGTTTGGGACCCCGAATGCCCCCAGCGCTCTTGGTCAGTGCTCATCCCTCACGCACACAGAACCCTGGGGCCATGGCCTCAGGAGTCTCAGAGACCATCCGTCACCCACCCTGCGCAGACAGGGCTCAGGGTCCTGGAAGGTTAAAGGCCCAGCCCTCGGTCCTTCAGCGCATTGGCGGTCAGCCGGTCATGCTGGGCGCCACCTCCCTGACAGACCTCCCCACCACAGATAGCTCTAGAGAGTTCGGAAGACACACAAGACTCAAGAGGACCACGTCCAGCCAGGTTGACACAGTTCTGGATTTTATCCACAGTCATACAATCACAACTGAGAGAGATATATTTGTATTTATAGACCTTTAAATTACACGATCATGTACAAAACATGTGCATTGCTGAGACCACAGCACTTCTCTGAGGGTCACAAGTGTCGGACTAATGGAGTCAGGGAGCCTAGGGCAGCAGGTGGCAGGCGGCAGGCAGCCCCGGCCCCTGGCAGAGCCAGGCCGCAGAACGGTGGTTAACTGGGAACCGAACACACGAGTCGCCAAGCCCCAAGGAGCGGGCCCGTGCAGCATTGAGGGTGCAAGGAGGCGGCTACGAGAGGTGGCGGGCACAGAGAGGGGCGCGGCCCTCCCACGTGGTGGTGAGTACCCGGACACCAGCACTGACAGGTGGGGCTGAGCCCCTAGAGCTTGGGGCTGGGGGGGACCGCTGGGTGGGAGACCATCCCACTCCGGGGTCCTGAGGAGCCTGGGGACCGAGAGACAGTGGTCCCAAACTGGGCCATGGAGGTGGTTGCTCAGAAAAAATGGGATTTCAAGTCCCTGCCCCGGAGTGGGCAGCTGGAGCACTGAGGGGGCAGACCTGGGGTCCAACTAGGGCCACAGACCCTCCCCAGGTGCTAGAAAGCCACTGGCATGGAGAGAGGGAACCCAGGCCCCAAGGTGTGGCTGTACCAGCTTCCTGCCTTCCAAGGGTACGTACATGGTGAAGGTCAAAGGCCCCCAACCTCAACTCCCACCTGGAGGAGAAGCTGCAGAGGCTTTTGGTCTAGAGTTGGGAGGGCAGAGAGCTTCCGAAATCTTGCTTTGGGCTCTGAGAGGCCTAGGGCAGATCTCAGGCGGCAGCAGATGCCCAGAGAGCAGACAGTGACAGGAAATGAGGGTCCGGGGTGGGGGCCGCGGTCTGCCTGTCCCTGGGGGTGCCATCGTCCTCACCCTCAAACTCCCCTGGCCCCCTGACTGAGGCCTGGCCAGCTCAGGCACCCCCCCCCCCCACCAGAGTCTGCCAGGATCCTCTGTGCACACATGAATGAGGTCAGGGCCTGGAGACCATCAGTGGAGCGTTGGGGGAAGAAGCAGGGAGCAAAAGAGGACTGAGGGGGGCCAGAAGGGCTGGGGTATCACACTGTCTTTACCTGGAGGTCCGGGGGCCAGGTGCTGAGGAAGGGGGTAAGTAGGGTGTCTGCAGTCCTGAGGCCCAGAAGCTCTCTTTGAGCTACAAGAAGTCCCAGGGCCTCACCCCAGAGGTTCCTGAAAGACTCCTCTTTCCAGCCAACCCTCCCCTCACCCCCTTGAGCTTTTGTCCTGCCCTGGTCTTCTTCCCAAACCTCCCGGGGCTCACATATGTGGAAGAAGTTGGAACGAGGTACTACGACTCGGTAACCCAGCAGTGCTTTCCTTCTCCCACCCCAAGAAACACCCTGGCTCTGGGCAGGCCGTTGGCCCCCTCCCCCCTCCCAACCCTCCCCCGAAAAATCCTTTAACTGAGACCCAGGCCTAGAGATACGGAAGGGCTGTCAGCCAGGGGGAAAGCTGCTCCAGGGGCAAGAGCTGGGTGGGGAGGAAGGGACAAGGAGGAAAGACATGGGACTGTCCTGCTCCGCAGAGCCTCGGTGCCTCCCTCCTGCCAAAGCCAAGTCTTTCCCAGGGGCGCTACAGGGTTTCTGATGGTCCCAGGTTGGAGACTCCTTTGGGCCTTGCCCTGTCTTCTCGGGAAGGCCAGAGAAGGGGAAAGAGGGATGGGAGACCACAAGGCTGTCTCCTGGAGGCTGGCTGAACCTGGTGAGTCTGTGGTTTTAGATGCCCATGGAGGGAAGGCGGGCAGGCAAGGTGCCCTCCTCCCCAGGAAATAGGAGGAGGTTGCTACTGTTGCTGGCTTTGCCCTGGGCTTTGAGGCCTCTCCCCCTGCCTGAGGACTTAGGAGAGGGGGGCAGGGTTTCTGCAAGTGACCACAGGGTATGTCTCTAAGAGCCTGGCCCCAAATTGCTAACAGCTGGAAAAAAGGGCCCCAGCAGGGTCTTGGTCCCTCAGCTGAGCTGGCGTTGGGAGGACTGAGGGCCTGCCCCCTTCACTCACCCTCCTACACACCGGTGACACTGTCATCAACTCCAGCTCTCTCCTTATTATGTCTGGGGGAGTCTAGGGATCCCGGGAAAAGTCTATGGGAAAAGAGAGAGACCGTTCCTCCTCCAGCCCCACCAGTCCTTAGGAGTGAGACCAGGAGAAGAAGGGTACTCCTCAGGGCAAAACGGAACACTAAAACTAGGAGGCCCCGCACCTTCTCTGGGGTCTGGAGGGGAAGCTTTGACAGCAGGGTGGTGGAGGGAGGGGAGCATGGTGGGGCAGAAGAAAGAGGTCAGAAAACCAGGCCCAGAGAAGAGGAGGGGGACAGAGGCTGGCAGCCTGGGTTTGGGGGGAAGGGGTGGGAAGCATATTCTGTCGGGAGTGAGGCAGGAGAGAAGGGTCCAGGAGACGACC